TATGTTGTTGTACTGCTCTGACTACGTTCTCTTGTTTTCTTAGCAAATTCATAAAACGTCGACTCATAACATGTCCTAGAACAAGAATTGATTCGAAAATCTCTCCTCGACATCGATGCACAGGCTGCAATGCTCGTACCCAATTAACTATTTCGGGAGAAATAGCGACCTTTCGCCAGTTCATCCTGTCAATGTAGTTATTCACAGACGTAATTAATTGACTTTGATTACGCGCAAAATTAATCGATACATTGAGATTACTAGACGGTGCTACATAAAAATGATCGTGATTTTTGTTGTGCCGGTAGTTTTTTAAATGGTTTTCGTTAAATCGTTCAGAACATTTGTAGCCAGGTATGTTGCATAATAAACGAATGTCTCGTATGTCAGGATGCGTGTACGATTCTAAATGATATTCTTGAGTTAATTTTGCACAGTTACTACCTTTTGGACATAGTTGCCGGATAATATGAATTGATGTTTCCAAATGATTTTCATCTGTGATTCGGCATCGTCGACCGTATGAACAAACATGCGCATACTCAAGACAATGATCTTCTACTTCTGTAGAAACTCCTTTGGCATCGCTTGATCGAACGAATTCAATATACTTAGGACATATGTATGGTGTTAGCGGACAAGGTGAGCTAAATGAATGTATCGTATTGTCTAAATGCGTCTTGTCATGAAAATAAGCGCAACAGTTATCGTGAGGACAGACGGATTTGCAATGACGAAACAATTTTAAATGTTCAGCATCCCTTCTTCGCTTTTTCCGACATCCAGGACCATCTGAACAATTAGGTAAGTGCCGAAAAGCAACCAAATGACTTTCACTAATATTTGTACAGTCACCTTCGTATTTGCAAACGGGTGGATGATCAAAGTTTAGAATATGCATTGCATCACTGTTATCACATTTACCACCATCTTTGCATTTAGTATTGTGCATGAACAAGAACGTATGAGACGGATCATCCAATCGATCACAAGCAGAAGTTAAATTTGCAAGTGGACAGAGAGGCGGATGTGAAAATTGATTTCGATGTTCAGGCTTTTGATAATCACGACATTTTGCACCATTATCACATGGTGGAAGATGTAAAATGACAACATCACTTAAGATCAATTGTCCATCTGCTGACTTATCAGTAATACGATTTGGTCCGATCGTTGCATTGATACGGAATAACGTTGGCAATGGCATGATTACACCATCGAGTAACTCGTGAAATGGCAGAAAATTTCCTTGTGGATTAGTTTTATTACCAATATTTTGATCATCAATAATAGCAAAGTAAATAGTACTAAAGAAACCTGCATATTGTAAGATGACAGACTCAAAAATAGCAGCAATATGATCAGGTGGATTTTTAAAGACGCCACACCCAAGAGCCGATAAAACGAGACAGTCATGTTTATGATGATATGCAATGGCAAAAATATTTTCAATTTTCTTTCGAGTACGAATGGCAAACTTATTCTCTAATAGTTTGTTTGTTTTTAACTTCGGTTCTCGATAAGCAGCCATAGCAATAGCACAAACATTCGACAACGGCGATTTCATGTATGCATAGCCCATGGTTTCTGTTTGACGAAAGGCTGTAATACCACTTGTATATATCGCTCCAAATTCGTCCATTGGATAGAATGTATCGCTTAGTGGCATTGATCGAAGTTCACATTTATCATTAGCACGCAGCCGCTCCGATTGATTTTTGTCAGCTATTTCAATGTCAAGACTTTGATAATAATTTGACCGACGAAAAAGATTCTCTCCTTGTCCTTCATCGCCTTGTCGATAACCTCCTCCTGGACTGACTTGGTTGGCCATATTCAATAGTAGTGGTCGACGTCCTTCGGAAACCAATCGTTGGTAAACGATCAGACAATCTTCATTAACTATTTTAACAGAAGTCGATGCATACGGTATTTTAATATTAGTGCTTGATATCTTCAATCCATTCGATAGTTTTGATTTATGATCATAAACAATTGTTTTCATAGTTTTGGGTTTCAATATAATTTCTTCATCATTAACTGTATAACGTTGTTTACGTAAAACACCAATCGTATTCCACATGACTGTTACGCGTAACAAAGCTCGACGTAAATCATCATTTTTTGAACGCTGTTCAGTCGATTCTAATTTTCGAAATTGTTCAATCCAATTTTGAGCATCCCACTGATAATGAAAGATTGGATGTTGAGAATTATGGATTAATGTCAAAATATTCGGTTCCATCTTCAACATTGCTGTCTCGTACCAGTTCTCAGCGTTGATATCCATAGTTTCTGCATCGATAACAACAGCATATGGTTTTATTTCCAACATTATATCGTTTAGTCGTAGAAATCCTTTGGATAAGCAATTCTTGTAGCTTTCTTTATTATCAAGTTGAATAATAAGTTGATCTTTGATGTGCTTGTGAGCAAGAACTTTATTTGCGAATAATTCATGATACAGGATATGATTAACATCAAAATCGCGAACTACTGGAGAGATAAGTACTCGGTAGTCAAGTTTCTTCTTCTTTGCTACTTTTCGCCCGTCAATTGTAACGACATTTTCTATGGACCATGTTTTAATGAATTTTGCAGTTAAAACAATGGCATTACCAGTATCGTTGTTATACTGTACGTACAATGATGTTGTTGATAGTTCTTTGCCACCAGATTCACTGCTAATAGCAGATAGAAGTTTGGCATCAGTAATATATGGTGGTAAATCCTCTAGAAAAGTACACTCAGCACGTGGATAAATGGTCACAACAATGTTGTCGATTTGAATCTCTCTGATGTTAGCTACTTTGACGAGATCATCGAGTGAATTAAGAGTAATGTGAAACACGTTGGGAAATTGATCCGATATCAACTCACAGACGATTTCGTTTGTTATTTTAAATATTCCCTTGAGACGAAATGTAACTTGTTCAGAAGAAGGAAATTTCGATGCATTTCGATCGAGCACTATGAAAGCATCAAGTTCGAGTTGATCGGTAAAGAAGATGCTTGTGCCACGTTGGGAATCGAGGATAGCTGACTGCATATTACTAATCAGATGTATTTTATCATCCTCATTCATCATCTGAATCACAGCTATACAGAGTTTCGAGTAGTATTTCACATTCTTGATTTTCATCCGTCCGATCCTCTCAATGCGATTTTGAAGCATTTGTCCAACGTCATTGTTAGGAATATCCGCTGGCACGTCAAGTGCGTAAACTAAAATATCTTCAGTATCAGATGTCATACAAGTCGAGTATTGATTATCACTGAAATAATCTGGAAGAGTATAATATTAACTTGAAACTGTCGATGAAAAATAAGACCTTTACCAGTGTAAAAGAATTGCTAAGTCATGTAAACTGTGTCGATATAATAAACATTCTTTTCTGTGCTTATCAGCGGTAAATAAAAGAATAGAGAAAGCAGTCCATGAAACAATTTTATTTCAAAGAAGCATATTACGTCTTACCGCCCAAAGGAGTCGCGTAACTAGGTTTTGATGGGTGGTAGGGTGGCATCCTAATGATTTTTAGTTGACTCCTTCTAGTATGGTAGAGTGTATCAGGTAAAATCAGTCTCTCATTATTTTGCAGATATCTTTCCAAGGTTCACTTGTACGTAGTCGTATTTTAACGAGGTAGACTATGAATTTCTTTACAAAGTCCTTATCAAAAGAATGCTTTCGGTAAATGATTATACTACTCACGGAAAAATTTAAAAGCAAACACTGCTGATAGATACATATATTTCTTGACGACTACGGTGATACCATTGGATATCACAGTATGATGCACCAGTCTCGATTTATGGCAGTATAATCTTAAAAGGAATCGCAACATGATATACCGTTGAAAATTGCGATTTCGAAAACTCGCAGCGAGATGTAAATTAGTGGTGGTATTCGCGAAATGTCATCTGTCATCATTTATATTTTGCAAACTTCTCATTGTAACCTGCTAGTTCTAGATTTTCTCAAAAGCTTCCGTTGTTCTTACCCTCAAGCCTGATATTACCTTTCACAATTGGTATTTTTATTTTTATGATGATGATGATGATGATATATAACTTCATTTTCCTGATACATAAAGTCGCGATTTTACACGAGAACACTAAAAAGATAAGGACCTATGAATTTGCAACATATAATAAGCCCTTTCTTCCGTTTATCAACCGCTAGATAAATCAACAAGTAACGCGGCCTAGTAGCCGCTAAACCCTCTACTGAAAGGATAGTATTAGAGCGCTGCCATTCGTCCAAATAGAGAAAAAAGTTATTTCAGTTGAACGATCTGGTCATTTGATAATTTGTCAGAATGTTTTACCTAGACCAATTTCGCTTCCTGAAATCTTCTGAAATTATAACGCCTAGTCGTTTGTCGACCTCTCTCCGGTCCACCACTCACCGCTAGCCGTTGGTACCTAATTAGTGTTTAATGATATTTTCATATTAAAAAGTACCTCGTTCTTGTTGAGTCCGTCTCTAGCAAAGTTCCCGAAATTCTTCACAACTTCGTGACCTACAGTATATCTTTTATTATCATTTTTACTTGAATGAGTTGGTGATCTACATAGTTTTTTCTCGGAGCTCGAAAAGATGTCATATATATATATATATACCTTAGAAAAATTATGGACACTACGCGACAGTGTTATAAATCTCACTTTTCAACTAATTTTCAAAAGAAACAACTAGTCGTTCGTCGGCCTCCCTTCGGTCGGCCACTCACGGCTAGCTGTTCCCATGCGTACTCATTTTACTATCTTAACTTCATTCGGACGAAGACGCGTTCCGAAAATGAGCACATTTCGGAAAATCAATTCATAATCAAAAACTTATAAAATTTACATAGCTATATGATTCTCTGGAAAAGGTTCCAAATTTCTCTCCACCACGAGGAACCTTAAATAGCTGCTAGCTATGTTCGTGCAGAGCAACGATTAAGTTCTGACCAAGAAATCTTAAAGCTCTGTAAAAATCACACAATTTGTTCTTGAAAATATTATTCTCCAAATCGACGACTAGTCGCTCGTCGGCCTCCCTCCGGTCGGCCACTCGCGGCTAGCCGTTACATGTACATTTTCACTCTTCCATTTAGTCTAGAGCCACTTTTGAAAGTAATCCATTCATTCTCTTCTATTCCTTCTTTAAAGTCACCCTCTTTGTGCTACTCTGACCCTCGAAGACAACACTTGACAAGCGAAACATTATTTTGAATGACTGGCATCAGATGATATTCGTATAGTATAGCTGTTTATAAAAGTGTCTGATCTCATTAATATACTGATGACTATAGAGATCCAGTGATCGGACCTCAGTCAGCTATTACATTTTTTGTTCTACATATTGCCGCTTAAAACATTATCGTCTAAAAAATTGATCCTTTGTCGCGAAAAAACGGGCCAGAAAGTGTTCATGAAAAAACTAACCTCGGATTCGAGATCCTCGACCCCGACTACCCTTCGGTCAACCCTTACTTGACAACAAAAAAAAATTTCATAGTCTAATTAGCTAATTAACTAATTAGAGTTTTGAGAAACTAACCTCGGATTTGAGATCCTCGACCCCGATTACCCTACGGTCAACCCTTACTAGTTTCAACTAGTATTAGGTAATTTGGAAGAAAAACGAACGGATGGACGGAAGGACGGAAGGACCAACATCAACTCGTTTTTTTGGTAGTATCTGCTCGACGCATAATCCTCTTTTCAGTAGAGGGAACAAATATCTGTGTTTCCATGGCCATTTTTTACGACACGCGTTTTAACTCTAAAATATTATACTTTTTTAGCTTTTACACGTGTTTTTTCAAAATCTTGACTGCTTGGGTAGTTATACACGGATGTTTTTAACAGAACTTAATATTCTGTAGATAAAAGTCAAGTGAAAACTGTACGATGTTTGTAAATACGCATCTAATTTATAAAAGCACATATTGTTTTTACTTTTTCATCGCAAACACGCTAAAATTTCCTAGAAAAGTACGAGAAAAAAATTTATGAAAGATAATTAGCATAAAATCGTAACCATTAAGCGTAAACACGACCATTGTTTGTGGCAGACTTCTCAACATTTATAACTAGAGAGTTAAACGCAAAGAATCTCAGATTTCTACATGTTTATAAGCTCATGTAGAAAAGTGAACGATAAAACGACACAACAGAGCACTTTCTTCTAGCAAACACGTTTGTTAATCATACTCGAGAAAATTTCAGTGGTGTTCACAATCAGAAAGAAAGTTTCTTCGTGTTTACATGTCCACTTTATCCTGCACGCATATAAACGCTATAAAAAGAGTGTTTTCCTGCGTTTACACGCGTTTTTCCAAAACATTGACTGCTTGGGTTGATCGATGTTCTTTCTGAGACGAAATATGTTTTTGAATGTCAGATGTGTGTCTAGTACGGAGAGCCAATGAACACATGCTTCTTGGTTATGAAAGAGCTAATTTCTGATTGAAAATATCGAGAATACCTAATTTTGTGCTTGGTTAGGTTTTATTTTATTTGTTTGTTGAAGTAGTACTCTCGGACAGGACGATTTCACATGTTAGATAATTGTTTATGTATGGTGTATTGCTCTAGTGGAATCGATATCAACGATCATTAGGGAAAATGTACTTATTTCTGTGATATCCCAAATAAACTCGTGCTTTTGATGGTTTATATATATATATATATATATATATATATATATGCTTAGTACTTAATGAATCTATTAGAACTGTTAGTGTTGTTTGATGCGAAATTGTTTTTGTTTAATTCTTACCGTTGATTTAAGGACTTTGTAGGTACTTGTCAGATTCCCGTCATAATCTAGGAATGTAGATATTTTGGATAATTTTGTTCTGATTTATGAATTGTTGGCTGTAAATTTGATTTTCAGTCATTGTCGGTTTGGGCGCAAGTACACGGTAGCCAAAAATGTTTTTCCAGAAGGTACAATCCTACACTGTAAGAAAAGGGTAGAATAATCAACCCTTTTGAAGGGTTTATTAACTTCATGAACCTTCGAAAACCGCTTTTTTCTTCTATGGTTCTTCTAATGAATATATGAACAAGCCTTTTAAGGGTAGATGAATGCTCATCTACCCTAAAGGTTTATGAAAATGCAACGTATAACAAACCCCTCAAAGTTTCGTGGAAAACAAGGGTTTTCTAGGGGATATATGACGTTCACAAACCCAAAAAAGGTTCATGTCGCGATCATCAACCCTTTTCGAGGGTTTATAATTCTACGCTTCTTTTTTACAGTGTAACGTCTAGTAATATGAACAATGAATTTTATACCAAATGAAAGCCGGTCAAAAACGGAATTTAGGAGCATATTTTGAGGGTGTGAGATAACGAGAACACCCACCCACACCGACAGCCACATCCACGTTCGGCACAAATTACGAGAGATCAGTTCTTTAATAATAAAAGTTAAAAAGTATGAATAAATCACTGTTCTTTAAAAAATATCAAGCGTTTAGATCAACAAACACCTCGTTTTTCTTCTTCAAACCCTTTATATTGATTACAGCTACCACATGTTCGATCCCAAGAGCAACCTGAATCACTAGAACATGTTTGCCATATTCCTTGTTTACCAGAAACACCTGCTTTTTGCGTGTAACACCACCAATCACCTCGATTAGTATGCGCAGCATCAACATAAGCCCAACAATATCCATTATAGCAACCACAGCGTCTACCATCACAGTCACCGTTATCTCCATTAACTTTTAAAAAAAAGAAAAAATCGAATAGAATTGATTAACATACAATACGTAAGTTTATCAATGATATTAAAATAATTCATGGTGAATTGATATTGAAAAGTGACTACAGAAAGTTCAAAACAATAGAGAACTTCAAATCCTATTAGAATGAGTAACTATCGGTGTAAAAGTTAGTTTCTATGTCTATCAGATCTGGCGTGCCCAGAAGAGGTAATAATATATATTCCACTAGATGTAAAATGTATAGAAGTTTGAATTTTTCTTCTGTGAAAAGTAGTATTCGTAGAACGAATTCTCTCATATAATTCATTGAAATCGAATTTTTGGCGGATTAAAACAAACTACTAAACGGATATTTTTACCAAATGACGCAAAATTTTCATTTTATATAGGCAATGTTCATTCAATAGATCATTATATTTATACTTACCACTACCATATAAGGCTTTAATAGATTCACGATCTCGGTTCGGCAGCATATTACTACGCGGATGTAAGTTGTAAGCTGGAAACATGATCGATCCTCGATCATTGTTATGGTCAAGACCTAGAGCATGACCAATCTCGTGAACAGCCACCAAATAAAAATTAACACCAGAATTGTCAAATCTTCCACAGAAGCAAAACATATTGAGATTTATTTCTAAAACGAATATCTAAAACTTACGCATCTATCCAAAATTCATCTGCATCAAAATGAATTCTGCCATCTTGTGGATAATATGCATGAGCCAGAACCCCACCCTGCCCATCAAATGAGTATTGATCACCACAACCATTGTGACGACGACTTCCAACCTCGATTTTGAAATCCGCTGGGCATGTTGAACATGTTTCTTTAAATCGAAGCGGAATATGAGATGCCCAAGTGTCGAATGCCTCTTGTATAATAGCTCTTGTTCGTCCTTGCTGAATTTGACGAGGATAACTTCGTAAAGACCATGTTAATGTTGAATGAGACGGCATCCATCTGTGCAAGGCAACGGGTGTCGTATCAGGAAGACCACATCGAGGTCGATTCATTTCATTTTTGGTAAGCTCATCCAAAATACCACTCATTTTCAGACCATATTGTTTCTGAAAATCTCGTAACATCGATCGATAGTCAACACTGCATGCCACATTGTTCGATGAGTTCGCACAAGGATTATAGCCAAACTTGTTAAGATATTTCATGGATTCATAATTATTGTGAACACGATTAATGGTATGACACCAACTATAAGCAAATAAAATAAACAGTATTGGGAAGAATGAGATGCACATCGTACAATAAACTCGACCAAGGATACTGATCGATTCTAAAGTATTACATGTAGTTATATATTACTCTCAACATAGAATAGTTCGTGACAAAAATAATTGATACAAGTAATAATGACTCAACTAAACGAGCTTTAATCCTCGTTCTATATACACTCACTTGTATTTGATTCTGTTCCTACCCCCCACGTGCATCAGATCCCCTTGTATCCTTTTCACCTATTCTTTTTTACTGCATTCTCCGCAGGTGTTAGATGCGATAGTATGTCGGGAACGAGAACGACATACTTGGGGCTATCCAAAAGTAGTGAGGGAGGGATTTTTTCCCTTTAGGGAAAACATTAAAAGAATTCTTTTTGTACCAATCGATAGAGCGTGTTTCGCCCTATTTTTCTATGTTAATTGTTCGTTCCCTAACTCTTTGATTTGATGCGTTATAGTGTTTTCCGGCAAATCCGTCTTTGGTATACAGATAGATGATAATTTCCAAGCAGACATATTAAGGAAATTAAGGATGTCAAAGAATTTGGATGTCTTAGATATTTAAGGCATATTTGTCACTCAAAATGTGTGTTTCTGTTTACTATGCTGATTTCGTATCGACTAGTTTTTTAGCATCCCTTCACAGAACGAAAGTATATTAAAAGAGTTCCGCATTTTAGTAGAATATCATATATTCTCCTTTCGGAGTGGGTATTAGTTGATCAACACGATATGTTACCATTCTGAAGGAGTTCCAGATAGAGATAATTAAAGATAAATATAGAAGAACATTAGATTAAAAATTACAGTTAGATAAAATAAGACAAAAGTTCTGTTAAAAATATGCCACTAGCAGCCTTTAATATCTTGGATAAACATATTCAATGTCCAAGATCAGATTCAATTACATTTTAAGAACATATGGATACAGAAAAAAACTCGTAGATAATCAATCAAGGCAGTAAGTAACTTATTTTTGCATGTATTATAAAATTCATATTTTGATCGTCAACTGTCAGAACGAAATCTCAAAAATATTACCAACTTACCACAAGAGGACAATGAACGCGACATGTACAGAACAGCTAGATTTCATCACAGTTAGTTAAACATGGTTTCTCTGATGAGTTGAATTTTCTTAGGATAGTTTTTGTAAACAAAAAAAATCATATTTGCCTTAAATGTTCATATAATATTTCTTTTAGCCTACCGAGCATATTATCATATATCGAAATATATAATTAATGAAACATTTGATAATTGCATTAGCCGATACAAAAACTATTCAAGTATGGTTAATAATTAACGGTAGAACAATTCTTATCATACAATGCATTAGATAACTTCATCTAAAATTTAAATACTGCGCAACAATAATGCTATAGAACAAACTAAGAATCGTTAAAAATTTTTATCTTAGTGTCGTCTGATTAAGTAATGTAATATTTGGTTAATTTCGTTTAATATTAACGTGAATATGAGATGCATTCAATACTTTTCGTCTTGATTTGCATACTCAACATTACGTTAGTATGTCCAATATGATCGATGTCTGCATTGTAATTATAAAATCGATTGCAAAGAATTCTCATCTAAAACATCTGTTGCGATCAGAATCAGTTACACCAATAATAAGAACAAGAAATATAGCTGTGGAAAAAAAACATTCTTTTATTTTCATTTATATGTGCAGCACTTTATTGTCTTGAATACAAATTAATCACACATTTTTCAGATCTTGAATAAGAATACGATGTAGTTTAGTACATAAAATCAACCTATCGAAAGTAACAATTACAGATCCAATATTGCTTAAAAAATTATTAGAATTATCTAATAGCAAGACAGAGCATTTGCCTGGTCTATTACCTTTTGTACCAGGTATGCCTGTCATTTTAACACAAAATATTGCTACTGAATTAGGCCTTATCAATGGTATTAATGGAATATTTTGACAATTAGTATATCATGAAGATTCGGTAACAACAGAAAATGTATCAGAAATGTTTCCGAATAATACACAATATATTCGTCGACCAATATATGCTTTAATTGAGATTGTTAAATCGAAGATAGAATGCAAACTTCAAGATCTTCAACCAAAACTTATACCAATTCCACTTGTAGAACNATTATGTAGGGGATATTTACCTAGATATTGTTTTTCTCTGTTCATTTTTCTTTGTTTTAATTCATTTTCCTTTGTTTTAATTGAATCTAAAATAAATTTACGTTATGCAGTTAATTAGCGAAGTTCTGGATCAAATCTTTTCAGCTGTCATTTGAATTATAATACTTTTTCCAAATTTTTTACAAAATGACTCACATGATTATAAGGCAAAAAAAGGACTATGAGTAGTACATAATAATCAAGTTTACATTAATATGAATAGTTTCAGCAAGAGAAAACATTTAAAGTTACTCATTCAGTCGAGGGTTAAGCGAGTCTGCCTCGACGAGCGTTACTAGTTTTATAACAAGAGAGAACCAAATCAATAAAGATTTTCTACCAAATTAGTGTTATAATTGAGGAAATGTACTCTATTGATGGCTGGGGTGTTGATATTGTAAGTGAGTGATGGGCTGAAGAAGATCCTAAAGGGAACAAATGCGGTGGCACATTGTTTTCTCTTTATACCCGAACTCTTCCTTCAGTCTGCCTTTTGTATAATAATTATAGGTCTGTAATTAATAGCCATCTACTGAACAGATACAATCTCAAGATATATGAGTTTTTTCTAGAGTTTGAGTATTTTGGTATAGAAGCAATCTCAAACACAGCCTATTTGCCTCTTTGATTTAATCTTATTGCGTAGCTCCTGATGGATTTTACTAATTGTGAAAAAATGGTGTAGGTTTCGTGCGAAACAACCACATTTCACTCAGACATACTGTCAAAATACAGAATGACCCATGAGTCCGCCGACACTCTTGTATTGTGCACAACTTTCAATAGGAATAAGATAGATCTGTGATTTTCGCCGTTCAAAAGAGTGAAGTTCGGGTGTGGGTGTGGGTGGCTGTTGGATTGGAGGGATAGAGCAAAGAAATGTTTAAAATTTGAATACTCAAATTATGAAACCATAAGTTTACAATTCGAATGAGAAGTCTACTACTCGAATTGAGTTAACAATTTCTACACTACTGATTGATTGGTAAAAAAAAGAATCTTCGCCACTACTTTTTGACTTTCCTAAGTATTAAAGAAATAGATATTGTTATTCATTTAGTTTCTTTTATTTAAAAATTTGAACAACATTTACATGAAGAATATTCATTTAGTTTTAGCATCGTTTTTGATGAAAAATGCGCGAACATCACACTATCTTCACAAAATAATCTTTATTTTGTTACTCATCAATATTCATTGTTCCATGTTCAATATTAATTGCAGTTTTATACGGATGCCAATGTTCATCTAATTGATAAAAAACAATCGTATCAATAACAGCAAATAATTCTGGACCAGGTCCAATCACTTTATAATATGTTGCACTAGGTAAACCGTTCATATGTAATTTGAATTCGTGTTTTAGCTGATTCCATGTCTGTTCAACGCCTGTAACATGTACTGGAAGCCCTGTACGTATACTGGTAAATGTAAAGCTACATGTATTCATTTTGATGATTAATATATAAAATATTTTTTTACTTGTGATAGAAACACATTACTGTATATTCGTTTCTATGTATATACTAAATTAACAAGAAAAAAGAAAATAAGAGAAGACATAAAAGAGAAATATGTCTGAAAAAAACCCTATAAACACTAATGAGAAGAATCTTGAGAATTGCTTATACAAATTTGCTATTTTCAGAAGAGAAAGATTGTAACTGAAACATATATCATCAAATAAAGGTAACTAACTCAAATCTTATTAAAAAATAGTTTCTTAGTAGAATCGGTACAATTCGTATGTTCGATAGAGAAAGAAACAGCGAACTATTAACATACTGTGTTATATCAAAGATAAATAAAAAAAAACAGTTTTTTATGAGATTTTTTTCTTACAATTCTTGTAAAAACATAAAGTGATACTACGAAAACCAGAGTATAAAATTTACTAAAGATTTTTATAAATCATTCAAATCAATATTCTTAGATCGATACTTTTTCTTGATATGTAGGTACCAATGAAGATCAGTGGTTATTTAAATTGATCTAACATATATTTAGCGTTTATAAAATCAATGACGAATGAACCCGTCTTCTGGTATTATAAAACAAATGTCAGTTTATGGCCAAACATACAAACGTCTGATTCATCAACATTCGAATGGACAAAATATCATGATTTTGAAATAGAAATTATCGAAAAAGCTTTTCAAAAAAAAGAACCATATGTAATCTTGAACAAGTATCGAATTGATTTCAAGCATTTCATTCAAATCAATCTTAATAGTGATATGAAACAATGTCCCATTAAACGTGAATGTGGCTCTATACAAAAGATGAGTGAACGTAAACATCGTTTTGTATCAATTAGTGGTGAATCAACAGTAAATGCAGTTGGGTCTTATGATGCAGCTAATGCCTGGTGTCCGTTTTTAATAGATTGGCAAAATTCTGCAGTTGGTCGTCGAGCTTCTCTGAATCTATCTGTGTGTATTAAAGCATGTGCACAAGGTATAGTTGACGAAGCTGCTTTAGATAAAATTCATAGTAATACAAAAGTATCAGATATGGCTAAAAAAATTCTCTCTTGTCTAGAATTATCTGACGCTAGAGAAGAAGTATTAAAAACGTGTGTTTATCTCTATACACACGATAGCTTTCTTTATCAAACATTGAATAAAGCAGTGCGAGAATTTGATAAATCAAAACTCAACACATTAGGTCCATTCTGTTATTTTCTTCATGAATATTCTCGAATGGATAAAGGATTTCTGGGGACTGTATACCGTGGTGCAAAGCTATCGTTGCTCGATATTGAAATGTACGAAAAAGCTGTAGGACAATGGCAAACATGGACGGCCTTTACATCAGCAAGTAAAAATCGATCCGTCGCAGAATTATACGGAGTAAATACTCTTTTTATCATCCATATCACTAATTTTACACTTGGTGGAGTACGCGGTTGCGATATTTCTCATTTGTCAAAGTTTCCAGACGAAGAAGAAGTTTTGATTCCAGCTGGGAGTATCTTCTGTGTCACCAGCGTCGAACAAGATTTGTCACAAAAATATATAATTCATATGAAACTCTGAGCGTTGTTCAAATAATTTATCTTTTCTTAATATGGTCGACAAAAAACTTTTTCGCATAGATTCAAAGTAACTTTCTAAATATAAGCGATATATTATGTAAGTTTTTAGTATAAAAATCTATCGTTAGATCATACTAAAAAGTCTTAATGCTATTATTTTCGAGTGACAAACATTGTTATCAATTAAGTTCCATTTATCCACATGGCAGAAACACTGTTAAATGATCTGCAAAGTATATAAAAAGCGCAAGTGTAAAGAGAATTAGTCGTTTGTTCTTTTCAATTATTCCCTCGACTGAAAGGAGAGTCATACAGAAAAAAAATAGTTTGTCTGTCTGTGTCACGGTCAAAGGTCAAAAAAACATTTTTGCGAAAACGCTCAAACCTCAATAAAGGATCGTTTGGGATGAGTCTTGGAGCTGGATGTTGATGGTGGAGTAAAGGACGTGATGAGAAGAACTGTGCCGGCGACGTCAAAGGTAAAAAACACTCCCCCTCCCCTTTTCCGAAATGCTTTAATTTTTCAAAAAAATCGTTTGAAATGGGTTCAGCCACTGACCGAACAACGCTTGTATATCCGAGAGATATGCCGTACTGCCTTAGCTCGAAATTTACTAAATCTCTAATTTGACTATATCAATAGTGT